TAGTACTAGAGCTGAGCCAAAAGTTGAGCATATTTCTTCGAAACCTGCTGGTCTTAGAGTTACGTTTATGGTATTACTGTGCATTATTGGAGCGATTGAAAGCCAAAATCGCTGCAAAACGGACTCACATGAAGCGAAAAAAAAATTGTTTTAGCAAGACACTGCGCCGGCGCACAAGAGCATCGTAACCACGGCTAAAATCAATGACTTACGGCTCCAATTGCTTCCGCATCCACCGTATTTGCCCGATTTAGCTCATTAAGACTATTATTTCTTTCCAAACCTCAAAACATGGCTCATCAATAATAAAAAAATCAGCCCACGGGAGGAAACCATCGACGCAGCGGAGGAGTATTTTGCAGACCTTCCGGAAAATTACTTTTTTGACGAGATCATAAAATTGAAAAATCGCTGGAATAAGTGTATCGAGCTAAAAGGGACCAATATTGAAAAAATAAGAAATATAACATTGAAAAAAAAAGACTACAAGGGACAGCCCTATGGGGTTGTACGCAATGGTGACGTAGGTCTACGTGGTCTTGTATAATCAATCTTATTCGATAACTGCAGCAGGAGCTTGTATTTTGTGTAGGAATAGGAATTTGAGCGGGGTTCTCTCTGTTTATACTCTTTAGTAGGACGACTTGACAAAGAAGGCCCACAGCGACTCACGAAGAGCTACTGATTCCGATCAATAGTGGTGCGGCTTCTTCCTCCTTCTAAGGATGCTCATGTGGGCTGCAGCTCACTGCTTGCAGGCAGCCTTTCGTTGTGTACTGGAGAACAATGTTCAACACCACGCGCCGATAACACTGCTGCTGCTGATGCCGACGACCGGACACCACCACACACGGTGATTGGAACTGAATTCGATCAGCGATTGAGGCCAGCCTTGGTAGCTAGCTGCTTGCGGGGAGCCTTTCGTTGAGTACTGGAGAACACCACCACTCACTACGCGGTGATTGAATAAACACCGTTTGGTGATACCGTATGGAATTCAAATTTGAAATCTGTGTTAGGGAAATCGCCTGTTGCAGGCAATTGGTGATCATTTTAATTATCAAAGCAACCGTTGCACATTCTTGCAATTTTGCAATAGTGACATTTTTAAAAATGATAAAGTCTTAAGTGGGTAGTTCACTTTGAACGTCCAAAAAGTAAGGCATTTTCGTTAATTTTTTTAAGCAATAAAACACTCAGAAAGGGCAAATATGTTATAACCTATTTATATGTCATCTTTCGAACTACAATTTGTATTTTTTTGAACTCGATTGGCGTCTCCCCGTGGCCGGTGCACCAGGTCGCGCGGGCGTCCTCGCGCGGAAGTCGGAAAACGGCGTGGGAAAATACTCCTTTCCATGTGATCCTGGAACATAAATCGAGCAAAAATCCTGATTAGTAATGAAATTTGGGTTAGAAATACGTATTCCAATTTTTTTTTAAATAATTTTTTCAAAAGTTGTGGCCTTAGGAAAAAAAAAGTCCATTTTTTCACCCTAGAAATACTTACAAAATTGTGGATTAAAAATCCATTTTTGAGAAAATCGAAAATGTGAATTCTGAACAAGAAAACCTATGCGATATCCAAATTGGATGATAACTGGTTAGAGTTATTTCCCACGCCAGTTTGAAAAACCCCGTTTCGAGATAAACGCGTTTAAAAATAAAATCTCTCTCTCAGCGCGCCGGTACATGTTTTAGGAAATCGCTTCGTAAAGCGGTAAGGAATATTCTGGCGGACTTGGAGTCTTTTTTAAAATAAAGTATACATCCCAAGGAACATTTTAAGCCAAAAAAAAAGCATTTTTCTGAAAAATCAAAGTTTACTCCCCTCTTAAGTTAAACAGATGCGTAGAAACATTACTAATCGATTAGTGATAAAATTATTGAAATTTGTCCAGGGGCAGCTGAGCTATTAACGTTCAAAATCTTTCATAAATTGTTACATGTTCCATTTTCGGTTTTCACAAAGTGTACCCTCATATAGAAATTACAGACGTAGTCCTACGTCAAAATCATTCCCAAGGAGGTTACTTTTCACCCCACCTAGTATACCAGTCTAAGTTACCTGATAGAGAAATGGGTTCAACCATGAAGATGATGGTGGCTAGGAGCGTCGAATCAGTTACTTGTCGGAGCGGAGGATGCCATGCTATCAAAGATGTTCATCCCGATCGAATGACAGATGGGAGCATCGACTCCACTAGACGTCGAAGTCGTAGGATGCCTTGGATGCTAAGCTGACAGAGATCTGGTGTTGAACCAGACCAAAGGACAGATGAAGGCAGCTGGGAGCGTTGACTCAGATAGACATCGGAAGCGTAGGATGCCATGCACTGTGCGATGGACAGATGACGACCGCTGAGAGCGTTGGAACAGCTAATCTTCGGAAGCATAAGATGCCATACCATCAATCATTTGGATCTGGAACCATTTGTTGAACAAACCATGTGGCAGTATCACTGGCGGCTTTGGCCAGACTGAGAACTGGTGTTCAACCAGGCCGAAGGGAAGATATGGCCGCTGGCGATTTACGCCAACGTAGATAGTGCGAGATACGAAGCTTTAGATGTCGTTTGATGTTCGCCTTGAACAAATCGATGGATTGCTGTTGTTTGATTACTGTTGGGATCTCGTTGTACAGTTTACCACCATGGTAACCAAACCGTTTTTTTTTTCCGAGTTCTGAATGTGGTCGGACCAATCGAATGCTACCGTTGAATCTACTGGATCTTTCTGAGAGGTTCATTGTGACTGTCATGTTGTGATGTGTGGCTGGATTTGTTACAATGTTATGCATGTGTGTTAATGTCTTGAAGTTCTCGAATTGGTAGAAGCGAATTCTGCAGATCTGTTCCGTTGGGTAAAGGTGCGGTTTTTTTTTAAGATAACTTTTAAGCAATGGTTTTGTAGTACCTGAAGTTCTCGTAGCCTGGACATGCTTGCGATTCCCCATAAACCCACTAAATATTGTAGCCACGAGTGAACCAATGAATAATACAAGTTCATCATCCAGTTCATTGGAACGAATGGCGATATTTTTTGAAACACTCCACACAATACCGACAGTTTGTTCTTTAGGTTTTCAATGTGATGCTCCCAGCTTAGGATACTGTCCAAAGTGAGACCCAGATATTTGAAGTGGTTTGGATAAAGATCGGTCAAAGCTATGTTGAAAGTGGTTTGTTTTGTATTTTATTCAGATTTTTGCCACCGCACTCTCACACAGTGAGCCAACCGGGTCAACCGGACGTTAACAATAAATTGTGGAGAGGCCTATAGCTCCACTCAAAACTTTAATGTAAATAAAGTAAAAGATGCGATTATCAAAAAACCATCAAGCATCAGCTGAATAGGTGGAACTATATCTCCGCCTTTGGAAAATCGCATGAATCTTAGAACGTTATAGTGTGCGTCACTCATTGCTACCCAGTCGCTCAAATGCAATGAAATTTTACAACCTTCTGTTGCGATCATAAATTATTCAACGGGAAGCCAAGCCAAGTCTGATTCCCAAGGCAAAGCATATGTGTTTGTGGGGCAATAAATATACAATGAGACATATTGTACCATTCTTAGCAGAAGAAATCTCACAGAAGTCCTGTTTCTCCGTGAATCCTGCACTTGAAAATAGGTAGAGCTCAGCCTGAGTTTAATCGCACCTATCCGGACGCACGAAAGCAGTCTTCAAGTTCACCACCCCAAAAACTCACTCATATACAAACATGCAGCCGGCAGTTTATGTGGCACAAGTGTGATAAATTGTCATAAAAATATGAAGTGACAGGTAATTTTAGCGCGTTTTCTGCTGGTGGCCCCCTTTTGCTTGCAGCTTGAACCCCCCCCCCTCCTTCCACCCACCACGGTGTGATCTTCAAATGATGCTGCACACTGATGTGTTGTGTACACTGCACACAAATATACACACATATGCGTTCGAAGGGGTGAGGGGGAGGGGGAGAGTGTGAGTTGCTGAGGTGGGACATTTTCCGGGTAAGAGTTTAGCATGAGTTGGCACTTGGTAGCAGCGAATATTTAATTTTATTCCATATTTTACGAATTTTTATAGCAGTTCCGACACTGTTCCACTGCCGGTGGTGCTGATGTCGTTATTTTAATGGAAATGTTTTTTTTTTGCTGTTTCACGACACTTGAGATTTGAGTGGCTCCATCTGGTGGTCCTTTTTATTTCATTCCGTTTTGGTGAGGTTATTTTCTAAAGTGCCTCATGTGTGGTTTTGGGTCGTAAAGTAAAGAGATTCTGAATATTTTCTAGCACAGCTGTTGGTGTGTCCTGACAGGAACCAATTGTTCTAATGGCCAAATCATGATTAACACCTAATGTTCTAGATGATATTTGCAAAAACAAAAAGTATTTCTATTTCAATTATTGCTTTGTACCGGCTAAACCCTGAACTGTTCCTCGAAATCCACGTCTCCTGAGTTAAAGCAAGAAAAATAAGAACATTCACAATCTGCCCGTAACCCGTTCCATACCGGGAGGTTAGAACATGGCAACAACAACAATCATTTTGTGGAGGAGATGAAGCACCTCTTCTAATGCCATCAAACTTTACGACCCCATTTTACCGCTTCAGAACCGTATCTGGGAAAAACAATCAAATCTAGCTTCACTCTTGACTGCAATCTACGCGAGTAGCAATAGGAAAAACGCTTTTCAAAACCGGTAGGAAATAAGAGCCACTGCAGTCATCTATCTTGTTTTAGATTTTATGCTCGTCCCAGGAAAGTAGCAAAATGTATTCGTTTGTATTGTACCGGGAAATAGTAGGTTTGCGACGCAGAAAAAAAAACGACATTTGCTATTTTAATTAGCGGAAAATGCTTTCAGCCCCTCGTCGTCGTCGTGGTGGTCGTCGTCGTCAACGTTGATTCCAGGATCGAATTACAATGTTTCACGGCGACGACGATAACGGTGAACAACACCCATTTTCCCTATTCATTATTTTTTTTTCGTTTTCGTCTGTCTGTACTTTCAGCTGCGCTGACTGTCACACGTCCTGTATGACCTGCAATGGATCGTCCGAGTCGCAGTGCATCCTGTGCCGTGCCGGACGCTTTGCCCACGAGGGACGCTGCCTGAATGTCTGTTCGGATGGGTTCTTCGGGGACAAAAAACGGCACGAGTGCATGCCGTGTCCGATCGGCTGTTCGACCTGCAGCAGCGGAAACATCTGCACGGGCTGCCGCGAGAACTGGACCATGAACAAGAAAGGCAAATGCATCGCCAACGGGAGCAATAACTGTGATGAATGTGAGTATTGATGAGCACTGGCTAGAATGGAGATGCATAATGATGATTTTTTTGGTTTGGGTTTGGGTTAGGATGATGTGAACCTATTTTTATGTTTAGTTTTGATTTGGTCCCATCCTAAGGCATTCCAATATAGGTATAATGAGAGATAAGTTGAACTTGCTAGTGAATAATTCTAGTATTGTTAGTTTTTTTTTCATTTAATACCTTTGAATATAACACAAGCACATATTAGTTTTTTTTGAAGATTATGTAGACTTTGATTTAGACTTGTAGCGTGTTTTAAAACCTCGATAAAACTTGCAATGTTTTTTGAGAGGGGTGGTAAAAACTCCTCTAATGATCAAATCCACGCCAAATAGCGAAAAACTAAACGACTTTCAGATTTTACTTCTCAGAATTCGATTAACATGTGAATAATTTTTTGTTAGAAGCATTGATCCAAGTTTGTGTTAGAAGAAAGTTTAAAAATTTGCGAAAAAAATTAAAGACACCGGTAGGATTCGGTCATTTTGACTCGCGCTTAATTGTTTAAAAAGGAATTTTCGATATTTTTTTCAATTAGGCAAGAAACTCGATAGTCTTTTCAGAAACAATAAGCAATGAAAAAACGCATGTTTTCGTGAAAAAAAAACTGTTAAAACTTCAATAACACAGAAAAGTGCATGTTTAAAATATTTTTTTAACACTTTATTTGTTACCAATTTGAAATTAATTACATTTCATTTTAACCTACACACTTAGAAATAACTAATTTTACTCACTGGTGTGCACAAAGTGTGGCAAGATGGGGGCAATTGCCCCCCTTTTATAAAATAAGATTGTTATTACCACACCCGGTACCCGGTATTGTAACCAGGCAAACTAACCATCTGTCAAGAACCCGTGCATACTCCAGTTTCGGTCAAAAACGAATTTCCTTTATAGGTCCCACGAAATATAATAACTTACCAAGACATCTTCAACAAATAACAAATATAAAATCCTCAAAAACTAAGATTTACTGTTTCTTAAAGGAACGAGTTTCGCAACTATTAATTTGATGCAATTGATGATGATGATGGTCCCACCTCTTACCCACACAAAGGTTTGAGCTGGACGATTTATCTTTAAGATAATTGAATATGACATTTTAACCAGGTTGGCAAACAAAATCGAACTGGTTTCAGTTACAGATATAAATTCCCTCTAGAGTTTACAGTTGCTTCACAGCGATATAAATGTGGAAAAGCTCAGGCGTCCACCTCTTAATTCGCCTTTTTGTCCACCTAAAATATTCATAAGTATTACAAGCAATCAAGAGTTAATGAATAATCAACAAAGCATCCTATTACACTAGTAACCCCGAAATCTGATGCTATCATAATTTTCAGCAATGTCAGGAATGCTCACGAACCACTAACATTTGCCAGAAAACTTACTACTAACTCAAGGTATCTTTCAAATAAGCTTCAAAATTGCATTTTTTTTATCAAATGCGTGCGTGGCTCAAACCTTTGTAGACTACTTTTTTTTTAATTAATCTACTATTAAATCAAATATCAAAAATCCATCATCACCATCGTGGTGAACAAAATAGGTTTTGCAGTGCTACAATAATTATTAAAAAGTCGTTATGACAGCTATCCATATAAAATAATCCGTTAGAGATAACTTCGTCAAGATACATAATTTGTCAATTCATAAAAAAATCACTGGATTACTGTTCAAAAGACAGTTTTAACGTGTGAAATGCAGTGTCTTTAAAATTCTGTAAGTGTTGCTGAACGTTTGATATGTCTAGGCATCGAATTGAAAACATTTATTCCTTAATAATATAATGAATTTTGTGAAGCACAAGTCAAGAAATGTGGTGTTCTTATTTCAACCGCGTTTCTAGTATTATATCTATGAAAGTCACTTCCTCTTTCAATTCGATCACACAAATATCGAGGCAGCAAACCGTTAACTACTTTAAAAATGAACACCATAGTCAAATATACAATTCTTTGCTTCACCGACAACCATTGTAAGGCGTCTTACATCAAAGTTGAGGAAGTGAATCTATTACATCTCAAAATCAAACGCATTATTTTATTCTGCAAGCGCTGTTATCTCGATATTTGTGTTGCATTGGCCAGAAATAAAATGGAAGGGCAAAAGTCAAGATGAGGAGAGATGATTGATTTGTATAGCTGTATTTTACTGGCAATAGTTAAATCGTTTTTCAGTCGACATAGAATTCCATACTTCTTGGAAATTTTCTTGATGACATTGTCAATGTGAGAGTTGAACTTAAGTGTGTCATCAATAATCACGCCAAGATATTTAATCTCCCGAACGCGATCAATAGTTACAACAGAGACGTACTCATTTACTCGATTCCGCGAAATTACCATAAATTTAGTTTAACTTGTATTCAATTTTAACTGCTTATACTTCAACCATCTACTTAGAGAACGCAAATCTTCATTCAAGTGTAAAACGGCATCATCTAAATCCTTAGCTGCAATGAATAACACAGTATCATCTGCAAAAAGATTAATGTCGCAAAATCGTAAAACACGTCGCAAGTCATTAATATACATAATAAATAACAGGGGCCCTAATACACTTCCCTGGGGCACTCCAAGGGTACTCCCCACGGGACTGGAAACAGAATCATTAAAAACAGTCCGTTGAGTTCTGTCAGACAAATAGCTTTCAAACCATTTATATGCAGTACTCGTAATTCCAAAGCGCTTGATTGATCTTAACAATAAGGGCCTAGAAATTGTTTCAAAAGCGCGTTTAAGATCCAAAAAAAACAGCAACAATCGTATCTTTACACTCCAAGTTATTTTTCCACTTCGCTAATACCAAATTCAACGCGGTTTCACAAGAATGACCTTCCCGATATCCCGATTGTTCTGGTATCAACAAACTATTACTATTTAAATACTCCAACAGCTGGCCTTTAACAACAAGTTCTAAAATTTTCTCTAATGTGTGCAACATGTTGATGGGACGAAACTCTTCGGCTTTAATCGTTCCAGCAACTTTTTGAATAGGGACCACTAAGGATTCCTTCCAAATTTGTGGCACATGTCCAGTTTGTGATGATTCATTAATAAGGTCCAGCAAGATGTGGCCAATGACATGAAAGCAATCTTGAATAACTCTAGCATTAACATTATCTACTCCATCCGATTTTCCTAATGAAAAACAAATGACTCTAAGTTCATCTAATGGGAGTGAAAAACTTCAAATCTACAACTACTATTAAATGGCTGTTTTATTTCCTCAGGTTCATCGACCAATTCAATAGATTGATTAATTAATGAAACGCTATCTACGAAATAATCATTAAACTTAGCTGCAATTACTTGTTCTGACTGTTCTAATGTGCCATTAAAAGTTATGGACCGCGGTTTGCAATTAGTAGGTTTTAATAAAGATTTCAAAATTTTCCATAACTCTTTGCTGTTGTTTTGATGCTGATAAATCTTCCTTTGGAAATATTCACAACGAGTTTTCTTTATCGATTGTGAATACTTATTACGCGCGATTGTGTACCTAGTCCAATGATTGTCATTATTAGATCTACAAAACTTTTTGTACCATTTGTCCCTTTTCCGTTTAAGACGCAAAAGATCCAAATTGTACCAAATGTTCGAGTCTTTCAAAGAAACAAACTTTTGCTCAACTAGTTGATTGGTACACGTTTTCAAAGCGTTATTAAGAACAGCTGTAGATTCATATAAGTTACTGGCCGTGAATGGAAAATCCAGGCTTCTCTCAACAAGATTCGAAACAGCTTGCATCGAATATTTCCTCCAGCACTTCAATTTTACAAAATTATCGTTATCGTTAACAAGGTCTAAGACATTAATCACTAAAGTCTCATGATCGGTTATTTTTAAATCAATATCCGTAACTGAACAAATGGAATCAAAATTGGAATAAACGTGGTCAATTAAAGTTCTCCTGTGCCTGGAAATACGCGTATACTCATTTACCGTTTACTTTAAATTAAAAACTCAGCTAAACGCTTCAAATGATTCTAATTATGGTTATCACCCCAATTAATATTAAAATCACCAGCCAATATATTTAATTAACTAGAATCAAGGAATGTCTCAAGCCAGTTCTCTAAAACTTCAACAAAACGCTGGTCACTAGAACTGGGAGAATGATACAAAACAACATAATTACCCATCTTCATGCCACGTACAACTGTAATGCCCAAGAACCAGTTACCATCAATAACTTCGTTGGTACGAAGGTTGAATTGAACTGATTCTTTGACATAGATAGCAACACCGCCAGTGTGTCTAGAATGTGATAAACAAGCAGCAACAATATATCCCGGAATACTATACTGATCAAAAGCTTCAGTTTCTACAATATGAGTTTCAGATAATAAAACTAAAAGAGGACGTTTTTCTTCAACAACCTGACGTAATGCTACGTAGTTTGTTGACAACCCCGCAATATTCAAGTATAAAAAATTGAATTAATTCACATTCCTGGAACTTGGCTGCTATTTATCGAAACGCAAGCTGCTTTTCTTCTGATCAAAAAGTCTTTTATAGAGCAGACATTCCGAGCTAAATGCGGCATGGTTGACGTCCAAGTTCATTTTTCGTTCTTTATTCATTTTCAAACAATTAATACATTTCAATACAGTTGCGGTACACTCCGACGTTTTGCGTTGTTGGCTGCACCTAGAGCATCTATCACAATTTTTGCAATCCATGCTCTTGTGCCCAAATTCTCCACATTTGAAGCATCTCAACACATTAATCGCGGGAACTATCGAGCACCGATCAAACCCTACATTTACTTTTTTCGCACATAACAAACATTTATAAGTATCGACATCGACTTCAATTACAACACTAAACTTGTTATAAGTGAAGCGTGGATTTTCAAACATATTCACTACTTAATCATCATTTATTATTATTTATTATTTTTATTATCATTCATATGTCAACCGTCACTAAATATTAAACGCTTTGCTGAAAAACAGTAGTCAT